AAAGGGTTCCCACAGGAGCGGGGAGGAGCCATCTTGATTCGAACGATTGACGGTAAGAAGCGGCTTAGAGGTTTCTTTGGGATTCGTTTGAAGACCAAGGAGGAGCTAGAACGGACAGATGCGCAAGGGAACCTTCCAAAGGCAGACTGATACAGCGGATACAACAATTTGGATGTTTCGAACGGGTGTGTATCAGGCTTTGAATGTTGGATTTTGTGTCTGACTTGTTTTTTTTATAATGCGAAATGAACAAAGGTTTGGGCCATGAAGCAATATTTACTTGCTCGCTAATGTAGAAAAGCGTGAGGCGTTTGCCATGCGTGCCGAGTGGAGCTGATACGCCTGATACAAGATACACACATAACGTTTACAAAAGTTTTTCAAGAAGAATAATATAAAAGCATTATATACATGACCACCTGCTCGCATCATGCGTATCAGGCGTATCAAGTGTATCAGGCCTTTTTCTCGCTTTCACGTCATGTTTTTGCGCGCCTGCGCCATGCATCGTTCTTGAATCCGCCAATCGCAAGCGTTGCTGATGTTTTGGCATGGTTTAAGAGCCAGCCTTTTGGCGTTTAGGAGCTTGATACACTGCTCGAATTTGTGTATCAATGTGTGTATCGCCACTGAATGGAGCCCAATCGCCACCAAGGCGGCACCAATTCACCCGTGCAACAGTCGAGCACGCACCCCTACCGTCCACACGGCTGCTGCAAGTGCGATGCTAAGCTTGGCGTCGTCAACGCGCTTCAAAGAGCTATTGTAGCCTCCCAGGAGGAGCGGCAAGATCCCCATGAAGCTCTCAAGCCCCGAGTACCATCCTAGACTCCTGAACCCCTTCAAAAAGGAGTTCACCGACTCCACTGCACTGGTATTAACCCAGTGAAGCGACGGATAGCTGTCCGGGCAATTTGAGGGACCGCATTTATGTACCTCCTGCCCGGCCTTTGAAAAATGAAACCTGTCAACAGAAAGGTGTACATCAGTTCACTTTCTAAGAATAATACCCAATGAACACGTTTTGAATCGAGAATCAAAGCTCCCAGCACCGGCCCAACTGCAAAATGAATCTCAACGTGCACGCAATCCCAATTGATGCACACTGCAATCTACTCAATGCTTGGCAACAATGGTTACTACAACCAAGTCGTCATACAGATTGTCCAACCACGCAATGTGTAAAGTGACGCCCACCTGTCGACGACGAATCGAATCTTGGCAAAGAACGCCGGCTCTTTGCGATAGCAGTAGTTGCGCAAGGCGCAGCCGTTGTCGTGTACCAGAACATTCGGCAGATCCTCCCGCCTTAACCGAGTGTAGAGCACGGCAAAGGCGTCTCTCGGGCTCTCCCCGCGCAGCATCACGTGGAATCCGTAGATGACCCGATGCGGGCACGCAAAAACGTAACCCCCCCTAGTCCTCTTTGGCCGCTTGCTCTTGCTACCCTTCTTCCCCGAGAGCTTTCCGGCCCCTTTCACCAGCCCTAGAACGTTTTCAGCATCCCACTCGGTCATCGACTTTCCTGTTGCGCATTTGTGCTCCTCCGAGCTCTTACTGCGGCCGTCCGAATGCTCAAAACTGCTGTACCATGGCAAACCCCGCTTCTGCTCCCATCCGGAAAACGGGTAGCACGCCAAGGCGTCCTGCTCGGCTCGAAAAGCGTGCCCTGCCGGCAATGGGTGCAACTCGTTGCCCTCCTCGTCGCGCCCCAGCCTCTCTCTCAGAAGCGAGCGCTCATGACCACTCATCCCCTCCCACTGCCGGGGGCTTGGCTCCAACATTTCGACCCCCGGGAGCAGGTCGTTTGCCAGCCCTCGCGCCTCGTCCAAGCGTCGTCTTTCATCGATGCTCAGGGGACGCGCTCGACCCTCCGTAAGAAAGCCAACCGCTCGCTCGAACGGGTCGATCGCCTCATGCACCCAGCCCCGCCGCCCTTCGCTCTCAAATCCCGTCCCCCCCTGAGCCAAGAGTACGAGCAGGTAGAGGTGGTAGAGCGTGCGCACAAAAAAAGCTGGGAATGTGAGCCCTCCGCACGAATCCAGGATGCACCGCAAGATTGGTGCGTCCCTTGCCAAGTCCCGCCGGTCCTCGCGAGTTGCCTTGCCACCCAGCAGCAGCTTCCGGGCCACATGCAATGCGCCAGGCCCGATGAGAGCCTCGTCGCTGTCGTGCGCGCCGAGAGAGTACAGAAGCTCCGTCCACTCGCCCACCCAGTGCTGCCACAGGTCTGGGCTCAACCCTCGCCTCTCAAAGTCGGCCTGGATCCCCGTCAGCAATTCGAAGACGGCCAGGTTTCGATCTCGCACCATCGTGCGCTGCTCGACGAGCATGTGCCGTTTGCCGTCCTCTCGAAGCGGGCCCCCTGCCTCATCCGGCCCAAAACGCTTCACGATCCGGGGGTCCTCGTGAGCCAGCCCGTTCAAGAGCGCTTCATACTCCACCTTTGATAGCCTCCTCCCAAGCCTCTCGTCCTTGGGCCGATGTTGGGAGAGGCGCACGAGCGCTTCTCGCAACTCAGGTAGCAGCAAGAGCTTGCGCTTCAACCCGCCCCCCTGAAGACCGGACCCGCAATAGTCGCGACCGGAGATGGGCCGCTTCTCGGGGAGCGCCCCCGTGGAAGTACGGCTAGGGTGGCAGAACGTGCGCCGCGCGTCGAGCGAGGAGCTCCCGAGCCCGCCTGGCTTTTGCGCGCCGTCCGCACTGGCGAGACCAACGATGCCGTCGCAGATGAGCACCTTGAATGATACACCAGTTTGTGACGGTGAGTCAATGAGTATGTTGAACGAAAAACTGGATCAAAGTGCATGGAACAGAATTGACCGCCCAGTCAACGGATTGAAAATACATGGTTTGTCTATTGAATAGCATTGAATGTACACAAAATGTCACCGAATGTACACTCAATATCAACAGATGTACACTGGTTGTGGAAGAATGTACACTAATCATCGTCCGGCATCGATATCGCCAAGCATGTGTGTCCAACAATCACAGACTTAAACAGACAGCAAAGACAGGACAGACAGCAGAATCTTGTGACCGCAAGCCACGTGGCTCACCTTTGGATGCGGCCCACAGAGCGAGCAGCAATCCCGCAGCCCCAGTCCCACCAGCTTGAAGAAGTCGAGGCTTGCCCGGCGCCACGTCTCCTCGCTCAGGATGGCCGCATCCGGAGAGCGTTGAAAGGCCGACTGGTGCGTTGCTAATTCGGCCTTGAAGTTGTGCCCGTGCTGCATCCCCCGCAAGAGCAGCTGCAAGCTATCTTGGACAAAGATTGTCCGCCGGTTCCATGCGTACAACCCCAGGTGCTCGCCGTCAAAGTGCACCGTGTGCGCCTCGTCAAGGCACTGGCAGTGGTAGATCCGAACCCGCACGCGCTGGCTCCATTGGGCGGCCGTGATGTCTGCTTCTACCCACGCCTCTACCCACGTGCCACCACACGCCGGAGTTTCCAAGGGACAGGGCGCGCTCAGCAAACCCTTTTCGGAGAGCTCTTGGTAGTGGCAATCCCTTAGCCGGCTCACATGGACGGGTCGGTCGAGCGAAGTCACAAGCGGGTCGTGGACAGTGTGCGCGTCGCTGAGCCGCGCCAACTTGGGTTTCGTGACCTGGACGGCCTCCGTTTGGAGAACCATGACGGGAGCACGAACCTTCGAAGCCTCCCCGTGCTCACACCGATCGCTCGCGGAGGCCAGCGAGCAGCTCGTGCAGGCATCAACCCAGCCCCGTATGGCCTCCTTCCCCCTCGCTTCCGCCGCTGGCCGAGCGTCCCACCCTCTCAAAGTTGCTGGCTGCGGGCCTCGCTTGTGCGCTTCCCAAAAAGCTTTATTCCGCCTCGCCCGTTTGCGAGGAGGTGCCTCCGCCGCAACCAACTCCCTCTCCTCGCCCCGATCGCCCTCTGAGGTGTGTGCAGCGGCCTCACCAAAGAGTCGGTTATGCTGGCGACAGAAGCACGTGACGCCGGCACACGCCGTCCGCACGTGGGGCCGCTGCTCTAGCAACTCGATGAGGTATCGCTCCTCGTCTGCCACATCCATGGCCAAGGCTGCCCCCACCCCCCGTCCGATTACCGGCAACTCCCCGCCCCACGCTTTGAGCCAGCCCAGCGCAGCCCTAGACAGCGGCTCTGAAAGGCTCATGACCACTTGGTCGGCAATCGGAAGGTCCTTCTCATCCCTCAGAGCCGCCTTCGTCGCACTCAGATGTGAGCAGTCGACAAGAGATGGGCACCCATCGCGCTTGCCCGTGCAGTACCAAACCCCCTGGCTGCTGCGGAATACCATGCGCCTTCGAGGGCCCGGCGGCCCCTGAACGTTGTCGGCAACCGCAAAGTAGCTTCCCGTTGCGTCTGCTCCAACCCGCTCTACCCTCGCCCCTTTGCCGAGCGACTCGTGGGTGGGCAGCTCCGCTGTCGAGGCCCAGCTCTCGCTGATGGCCGCCAAGGCCAGCTTGTGCACGCACGGCGAGTCGTCCCATAGCCGTCCCCTATCGCACGTACAGCAGAGCTCGCCGCGGGTGTCCCACCAGACAGTCTCCGGCAGGGCGTGCGTCTTGTCCGGCTTCCCCAGTTTCTTTGGCCGGCCCTCCCCGTTGTGATCCCATGCCGACATGTACAACCTAAGCGGAGGGGTCGCCGACCCAGTCGGTAGGAAGACGCGGACCGACTCCTCCGGATCCACCATCATCCCAAGGTAGCGCACCGCCTGATCCTTGATGCCCAGCGCTAGCGCGCTCTCTCCCTGCGACACACATAAGGAGATCCTTTAAGCGAACCTGATCCTTGCGACTAGGCAGTGTTAAAACCAAAGCACCTGAAGAATCAAAGTCTCTGGTTTCAAATAGATCCCTGATCTTATGCCCACAGAGATCACAATCAGCTTGAAGCAATCTGAGGAGCACAGTGAATTGTCGTGCAACGCGACCATTTCGCTGGCGTTCGGACCTTGAAATGTAGCAGCGATGGCAACGCGCACGAGCTGGGCAATATGAGAGTGCAGCACACATTTTGTCATGATGTCAATGAAGAAAAAAGAGAGCCATGCCAGCTCACCTCAGTGCTTGTCTCTTCTGAGGCGCCCTTCACCCTGGGCCGCACCCCCTTGCTCATGCCACGATCGCCAATCTGCGACGCTGCCGTGGCCCTCGGCCTCTGCCCCAACTCCGTCGTTGCATTCTGCCGGCAGAGGAAGCTCAGCAAGTCGTCCGTGAGCTCCAAGCTTTGGCTCCACGGCCCTGCTCTCCTGTGTAACGGCGGGTTAGCGGTGAAACGCGTGAACCCGTATACGGTCCGAAGCGGAACGAAAATCGACGCGATAACCCGGCCGCGACGCGCGGACGGCCGACGCGAAATCGATACTAGTATAAATTACGGAAGCGCCTTAGTGTGCATCCAGTCGACAGCTTTTTGGATGCATAGCCGAGCGGCTAAGGCGGTCGGCTTCCGTACCGTTACATCCTGTGTCGCCGCAAGATGGGGGTGTCGTGTCCACCATCCTTCCTGCCGCTCAAAGTGACCGACAAACCATCTGCGCTCTCCGTCACCACGCCAAGCAAGTTTTGGACGCAATTCAAGCACACAACCTGCTTGCACTGCTTGGCCTTTGGGATTCTGGCACTGACTAGGTAGCCCATCAGGGTGCCGCGGTCGCTTTTGCGCCATGCAAGCGTCAGGAGGGGCCGGGGGGCTTTTTGTGCTTGATCCAAATGCGGTGAGCGCACGTCAGACACTTAATTGCAACGCGCTCCTGGCAACCAACAATGTCAACCCTAATCTCACCCAATGCAATGCTCTCCACAGTCTCTCGCTCTATATGGCTCAACAGAGTGCTGAAATGCTGGAGACTAGCTTGAGACTCCATGGTTACCCCGCCTACTTGTCCTCCTCCGAGGGGCCGGACCTCCCTAAGCCCCGTGCGCCTCCACCTGCCTGCTGCTACCCGGTCCGTTTTTACCGGGCCTCGAACTTGCCCTCTGGACTCCGCGGTTTCCCCCTAAGTGCCTGAGCCCCGACCTTGGGCGATACTGCCCGGTCGCTTAGCCCTAAGTCCCGAGCGTTCGACGGGCCATGATCGAAAAGGCTCGACTTCCACCGCCGGGGGGTGCTGACGTGGCGTCCTCAATC